CACTTGTTCCAAGTCACGGCGAGCGCGGCGAAAGAGGCGTCGCGAGCGCAGTGCTAGGCGCAACATTCGTTTCAAGACCCAGTCCACTCAACGTGGCAGCCCTGCAGGGTGTTGTCTGTCTCTGTGTCTTCCACGTCAACTAGCTAGGAAGCACTGCAACTCTCAAGCAACGCTACACCCGAAACAGTGCCCCTCCCCAATGATGATGCCATAGATGGTCTCACTCCGACCGACGACCGACGTGGGCCCAGTAGGCCTTCACAAGGCTGACCTGCACAGGCTCCAGTGACCACCTGGTGCCTCCAAAGAGCCCAACTGCTCCAAAGAAGCGCATGAATTGCGGCAAAACTTTCTGGACCATCCCATACATAGCAAATCAATCGTCCGGACCTTGCGAAAAATCATACCTTGGAAGATGCCGTTCGATCCATTAAGGATGCTGTTAGAAACGGATCTCTCGACGATAGACTGGTGAGGTTTGTGGAGTTTGTCCTAAAAATAATAACAATTGAATAATTATAATAATAAAAATTGGTGACATAGAAGAAACGTCCCATATTTACGAACAAGAACGCGCACACCCGACCGAGGTGTATGTCTGGCAATTTTCACAGTATAACGGATGGTTCCTGCGAAGTATAGCGCGCGTCGGGATATGGGTTGCATAGCCAAGGCAAACCTATCCACCAATAATGTCATCCTGAGTGCGCAGCAATTGGCGGGAAAGGCTGCTCTGGCAGACGACCCTTCATGGCTCACGACCCTTCATACGCCTTCCTGTTCGCAGAAATTGGACAATAGTTCCACAGTATCATTAGCTTCTCCTTATTGCTAGAAGGCAACTGGAATACCGTACGGTTCTGTAGAATAAAGAGTTCAGTCAAGAAAATACGGGCGGAAGTTGGCTTGGTGGGGCAAGAACATTCTAGCTTGTACAGGCCACCTTATGAGGACTTAAAAATTCCGCGACCACAACAGGGATAGTGCAAAACGCTCCCCT